CATTTTAAAAGATCACTGGGTAGAGAAGAGATATCAAGGGGGGTAGAGTGGATACAGAGGTGGTACCAGGTGGAGACTAGAAGACTGATTTGATTCATATTTAGGAAGCAGAAGTGACAGGTTTGGTGATGGTACAAATGCGAGGGCTGAAGAGCCATGAGGCGTCTGGGATAACCCTCAGGTTTCCCAAGTTAACAAAGAAATGGAGTGAGGTACAAGAAAAACTCAGAGGAGCAGAGTGGAGAGGAAAGATCACAGTTTGGCCTGTTATAGTTAACAGGTAGAGATGCCAAATTAATAACTAAAACTGGATGGAAATATAAAACAAAGAAGTCATCACCAAAACGGTTTTGATGATACATTATTCTGCTCCTTAAATATTTACCCACAGTAATGTATAATACAAACCCAGAAGAATCTAGAATAAATTTTAAAGTCTCACAGAAACAGACTCACAGCCTTAGAAAAACAAACTTATGATTACCAAAGGGGAAAAGTTGGGGGGGGGATAAATTAGGATAAATCAGAGGTTGGGATTAACATGCACACACAACTATATATATCAAATAGATAATCAACAAGGACCTCCTGTAGAGCACAGAGAACTGTACTGAATACTCTGTAATAAACTCTATGGGGAAAAAATCTGAAAAAAAAATAGGTATATGTATAACTGAGTCACTTTGTTGTACACCTGAAACTAATACAACATTGTAAATCAACTATACTCCAATATAAAATAAAAATTAAATTAAAAAAAATTTTAGTCTCTATGGAACAGCAATTCATAAATACCACAGCAGCTGAAGCCACTGTGTATCTGAAAATACAGAGCAAGAGCAACGGTGTAACTAAACAGTCACATTCAAAACAATCCTCTTTTATGAAATAGTAAGGAATCACTTGTCTATTGTGTTCACAATATGCTCCACATCTAACACAGCGCATGGCACATAGGAGGTGTTATCTATTGAAGACAAGTACCCACTACTAGGCAGAATAAACCACAGCAAAAATAAAACAAATGGCGCAAATAACAAGCAATTCTGCAAGGAAAAACTCGAGTATGAAACATACAAATGTGTAAATAAGGACATTTCTCAGAGAAAAAAAGGGAAATGAGTTATTTAGCACAAACTCAGTTCTCATACCCAAATAGATGCTATGTTCTGGTCCCTAAGAATCGGCTTAATTTCAAGCTTCTAGGGAAGACCACCCCAGGCAACCTCACTGATCCCTAGAAGTCCCTACATATGAGAAAGAACAGAAATGTAATAAAAGCTTGATGTTGAAAAGCTATAGTAAAATCTCATCTAGGTTATTAAAACAAAACAAAAAAGGTTAAAAATGGCAATTACTAATGACATTTTTTCCTCTAAAGTCTCCTGTTGTCAGATTTTCTAACAAACATGGATTTTAACTGGTTTTTTCTCCTGCTCACAAAGGTCACACTGATACATAGGAGAAAAATCCAAAGATGCACATAAACACGAAGGAGACAAATTAACCATATTCCCATTGCCCAGAAGTAACCACTTTCAGTGTTTCATGTGGAGCTTTTTCTGTGCATACATGGGGACGGAAAGTAAAGAGTGATACACAGCTAGACTTAAGTCTATAAATGAGATTACAGAACACTGCTATGGCAAGTATATAGGACTGAGGAAAGACTAACCTAAAGTGACAACTGAGCTGAGCTATCTGAAGGATGAGATGGAATTAACCAAACAAAGAAGCACAGGCTGCTAGGCAGAGAGAACAAGAATGTGTGCTGGGTACCGAACCCCACCAAGCCAGGCAACTGGGGAGAGGGAGGAGACTGGCTGGGCAAAGCCTTGTTGAGAGGACTCAGGGAAAGAATGAGGTGAGGTCACTGAAAGAGAAGCAAGGTAGATAGACTCCTCAAAGGGAATGTCCCAATTGCTTAGGTGGGAAAAGGATTAGGCCCTACAAGTGTGGACTTAGATGATCAGCATCTTCTCCCAAAGGGTGTAAAGAGTAGGGGCACAGGGGAATCTTTGGGGAGGCGAGAGGGGGGGTGAAGCTGCAGGGAGAAAAAGATAATAATCCGATATTTTAAATTTATATTTTAGGCTCCATAAAGCCTTCTAGACTGATAAGGATAAAGAAAATGTAGTGATTTTAACTATGGTACAACTCCCAAGAAATTCATATTAGAAATGAAGGTAGGGAGAGAAGCATTAACTATTCATAGTACAAAAAAGAAAATATAAATTTTAAAAGACTGAAAGACCTGCATTAGACACTGAGTTTAATGACAGCATGGAATGTACCTGTTTTATCATCATATCTCTAATAAACATACAGCAAATAAATCAATATCAAGGGAATAATCATTATGAGTATTACGTATGAAAAAAGACTGGGCTAACAGAAAGGGACGATCTTAATGACATCCAGACAAGAAAAACACAACACTATACTCAGGACAAAGCCACACACAGAGAATTCTGCCTCTAAGAAGTGGTCTTCGTAGTGAAGCACAAAGGAGTCAATAGGCCTCTCAAAGGGGCCTATCAATACTATTATCCCTACCTGCTCATTCACTCATTCAAGAGAAAATGTTTAATCCAGAAACTCCACTACTAGGTGTATACCCAAGAGTTAAAAAAAAAAATGCATACAAAACTAGTTCATGAATGTTCATAGCAGCATCATTCATGACAGCCAAAATGTACAAACAACCCACACGCCCATCAACCAACAAACACATAAAATGTGATATATCCATACAGTGGAATATTATTCAGCCATAAAAATGAATAAAGTACTGAAATATGCTATATATAACATGGATGAACTCTGAATATTATGCTAAGTGAAAAAACTCTAGCCACAAAAGACCAAGTATTATATAAGTACATTTATATGGAAAGTCCAGAACAGGCAAGTCTACTGAGACAGAAAGCAGATTAGTCCTTGCCTGGGGCTGGGGTGAAGACTGGATTTGGAAGAAATGGACAGTAACTGCTAATGGGAAAGTATTTCTTTTTGAGGTGATAAAAATGTGCTAAAATTGATTGTGCTGATGGTTGCACAATTCTATACATATACTAAATACCATGAAAAAAAATCCACTTTAAATAGGTGGATTTTATGGTATGTGAATTATATCTCAATAAAGCTGTTATTAAGAAACAGGGTATTTTGAGCACTGGGGCACTATGGTAAACTGCTGGAAATAGAACAAAGAAGACACACACACACACACACAAAACCTGTCAGAGCTCTAACATTCTCGTAGAGGAGAAAAGGCAATCAACAGGCAATTAGAAAACGATGCGAAGAGCAAAGAATTCAGACTGTACCCCAGCGGGACCTAACCTAGCCCTGTATGATTACGATGTCTAGAAGAGAACTCAATATACCAGATTTTCGTCCTTAAATTGAAATTTAAGTCTAAGAAGCTTTTTTAAAATTAAGTACCTGTTCAGCCTCTTAAAATCTGCATTCTTACTGAAGGTTAACAGATTCTTCTTTTAAGCATTTGTGCACATGCAATGTTTAAAATATGTTTTTAACTTTACAAAAGCAACAGATTACAGTCTGTTAATAAAATGAAACAAGTCTCCGATTTAAATTGTATTGCCAAGTTCGTAGGGTGCTGTAAAGATTATGTGCAAACTTTTCATAAGACCTTAAATTGGAAGAAAGAGGGCCTAAAAGACCCGAACCGTGTGACACATTCCAAAACAAAGCCTGGGAGTTGGGAGGGGACCCGCAAGGTAGGAGACCTAGACTAATGATCATAAAGAACTGAGTGCTACAAAGTAAAAATGGACCTTTAATATTTAAAGTCACTAATTTTCAAACACGACACTTCGAAATTAGAATATTAGTAACCGTTGCCATAGGAACAGTGACGCTGAGTTTCCCGAGATTAAAAATAAAAAATACTGCAAATTCAAGTGGGTGAAATAGGGCAAAGTTTGGTCCGAACGTAGGTGAACCGAGCCTACCAAAAAACTTCCACAAGGGTTAAGAGTGGACCGGCTGCAACTTTTAACCTACACTTCCGAAGCAGCGCTTGATAAATCACCCAGCAGGGTAATTTACCAACTGCTAAAAAAAAAAAAAAAAAAAGTTTGCCCTCTCTTCTCCAGGGGGAGGAACCACACAAAAACGCTCCCTGGCATTCGCCCACAACCAAAACCAGACCGTGCAGACGTGCGTGGTTGCAGCTCAAGGGGAGACTGGCTCCGAGTTCACCCGGAAAGCATCCGAATCGAGCCCTGCTGGTTTCATTGGCTGAGCCCCGAGGAAAACCCCAAGCTCGAGCCCGGAGCCCCAGCCTGCCTGGCTCCTTTCTTCACATTCCCACCCCCCGCCACGTCCTATGCCTGGCATTCCACGCGACCCGATCCAACTCATATTTATTAAGCACCCACTGTCTACACCGCATCGTGGCTAGAGGCACTGCAGGAAGAAATGGCCCCACGCCGGAAAAACCAATAGGATAGCCACAGGGGCTAAGGACGGACCCGAGAGAGGAGCTGGCTACCTACGGTGGGGTAGTCTGGAGAGGAGCCCTCACCCTCACCCCGCGGGTCATGAGAGTCCCAGGGAAGAGATGGCCCCGAGGGGCGCACCAGGCCCGGCCTCCGCGGAGTCCACCGCAGACCGGGCTGGGAGGGGAAAGGTAAGGAGTAGGCATCCCCGGACCACCCGCGCGCCCCTTCCAAGGAGCCCGACCCTGACTCCGGCCCCCGGGAGAACGGCGAGCTTGGGGACCGAACCCCCGGAGGGCCGGAGCGGGCTGTCACTGGCTCCCGCCTCCCACCCCAAGACCATGGCCGGCCGCTCTCTCGCCAGCGTGACAGTCGCGGCGGCCGCGGACCTAGCGTCTCTGGCCCGGCGTCTCCGCTCCGCCGGACGCCGGCACCCCCTGCTGCCCCGCGCAGAGCGGGGCAGTGCCAGGAAGACCGCCCGGGCCCCTCCCCCAACGGTCCCCATCCCCCGGACTCCGGAAAAGCAGTTACCTGGCGCGCAAGCGGGGGAGAGGACACGACCCAGAAGAGGAAGGTGAGAAGGCAAACGGTGGCCTCCGGCCCAGGGAGATTCGGGAAATTTGGGAGACTTGTTCCGCACTGGGTGACAGCTGTTCGCTGCGCACGCGCACCCGGACCCAGTCGCCCGATGACTCCGCCGCTCCTCACCCTCCCGTCGAGGGGCAGGGAGACAGCGGCGAAGGCGCGCGCACAGCGCCAGCCGGCTCTCCCTGCGCGAGGGCGCGCGCGCCGTCACGTGACCGCGGGGCCCGGCACTTAGTGGGTCACGTGAACTTCCAAACAGCTTAAAGGTGCCAGGCACCTTCTTGCTTTGGGCTTAATCTTCCGCACTGTTCTTAGCTTAGGCTCCCGCCGCGCTTCGTGTTTTCTGGAGACGGACATGTCCCCTTTTGCCCAGAACGGGAAGACACTTGAGCAGAAGGAAGGAACAGGTGCACAGAACCTTGCCTGGAAGCGCCTACCGGGTTCCCTCAGGGCTGGACCTGATGGAGTCCACGCGCCACACGTCGCCCTGGGTTCCGACGCGGGCCTATGGCGGCCTCCGGAACGCGAACGTCAGAGTGGCGTTGCCCTGGGTGCGGCCTCGGAATGCCCAGCCGAGCCTGGCTAGGATGTCGCTGCTCGCTGCTGGGCAGCAATGACAGCGTCATACGGCCGGGGCTCCTGAGCCTCCAGACCGAAATGGGAGATCCCGAGTGAGCGAAGGGTGTGTGCCTGCCAACCCTTTAACAAGTAACTCAAGCGAGAAGCTGTGCTGTTAGCCGAGGGGAGTGAAACTGCCCTGTACTGCAGTCACCTACGCGGAACAAGTTCCGCACCGCGCAGGTGTGCTCTTGAGTCCCGAGGCGACCCCCATAGGAATTCGGACAGGGGGGGGGTCTCTCAAAAACTTGGGGTGACAGCACTATGGCCTGAATTGTAGTAACAGGAAGTGCAGGTACCTCCGGACCCCTCAGACGTACTTAAATTAGCTTGCTACAACTTGTTATTTCTGTGCTGTACCTCTGTCTTCCAAGGTGTCAGAAAGAACCACACAGACCTTACTTAACTAAGGTCTTTGTACTACCAAAGACAGATGGCTGAGCACCAGGTGTTTTGCAAAGCTGAACAATTTTTTTAACTTCCTGTAGAGTTCCCAGCTGGGTCCTTTGTGACGTTTCCTCTAACGTCTTCTCGGCGAAGAAAGATTGGGCAGAACCTTACACTTCTGAGCACACTCGGGCTGTCTCATATGCTGAGTTTTCTACTACAATCCACTGATTTCTGTTTTTTTTTAATATCTAAACAGGTCCACTTACCGCACCCTGGGAGTCTTTTCTCCCTGGAAGGAGCATTGCGAGGACAGATGAAATATGGGTGATTAAGTAAAGCTAATGGAATTATTGGGTCACCACATTTCATAAGTCATTAAATTAGAATTATTACCCACATAGGTACACGATTGAACTTACCTAATATGTAAACTCAACTGGGACTTTTCCAAATGTGTATACTATGAGGATCCCAACCCTCCTTACAAGTCAATCGGATATGCTAAAACAATAAACGTATAACAGCATTCATTTAGGGCTTACTGTGAACTTGACACTGTTTTAAGAGCCTCACATATATTAACGAAATTAATCCTTATAATCATTCAATGAATAGGTATGATTATTACCTCCTTGTTACAGATATGAAAACCGAAGTATTGAGATTAAGAAATATGTCAACTACTGAGAATCCGCCTGCCGATGCAGGGGACACGGGTTCGTGCCCCGGTCCGGGAAGATCCCACATGCCGCGGAGCGGCTGGGCCCGTGAGCCATGGCCGCTGAGCCTGCGCGTCCGGAGCCTGTGCTCCGCAACGGGAGAGGCCACAACAGTGAGAGGCCCACGTACCGCAAAAAAAAAAAAAAAAATTGTAACAATAAAAACCATTCATTTTAGCAAATAAAAACTACATACCTAAGTTGAAGTTGCAAACTCAGTATTTATAGTTGTTTAAATCAATCCTTTTTATTATGTATTACTGTTATTATTTGTACTATGTTTTATGAACAGGTTTTGGATCATGATATAACTATGAACAGGACAGATGTGGCCTTGCTCTCATGGAACACACAATAAAGCCACAATGAGATACCAACATACATCCACAAAAATGGCTAAAAATAAAAACTGACAAACATTGGTGACAATATGGAGAAATAGAAATACATATACATATGCATCAAGCACATACACAAAAAGGTTTATAGCATTACTTGTGAGGCCCCAAACTGGAAACAACCCAGGTATCTATCAGCAGTTAAGTGGAGATATAAATGTCAATAAATTTCTACAATGGAAAACTATACAGCAATAAAAATAAATGAATTACTGCTACCCAGAACAGAATGACAATCTCACAAAAACAATGGTAAGTGAAAGAAGACAGACCCAAAAGAATACATGCTGTGTTATTCCATTTATTTAACATTTAAAAATAGATAGAACTATTCTATGGTGTTAAAAGTTAAAATAATGGGGACTTCCCTGGTGGCGCAGTGGTTGAGAATCCGCCTGCCGATACAGGGGACACGGGTTCGAGCCCTGGTCTGGGAAGATCCCACATGCCACGGAGCAACTAAGCCCGTGCGCCACAACTACTGAGCCCACGTGCCGCAACTACTGAAGCCACCGCAATGAGAAGACCGTGCACTGCAAGGAAGAGTAGACCCTGCTCGCCACACTGCTCGCCGCGTGCAGCCACAAAGACCCAACACAGCCAAAAATAAATAAATAAATTTTAAAAATTTATTTTTAAAAAAAAGTCAAAATAATGGTTGCCTTTGAGGAGAAGAAAGGGGTGGAGCAATTGGGAGGGGAGGGGAAAGGAACCTCTGGGGTGTGGCTTATGTTCTATTTTTTAACCTGGATGATAATAATTGTGATAATTCATCAAGCTGTACACTTATGATTTGTGCACTTTTATATAAGTGACATTTAAATTTAAAAGGTTTTTCAAATATTTAGTATGTTAATATTTGTATATTTTTTATAGCAACTTTCTTACCCACCTTTTGACAAATGGACCACCCAGGTTGATTTAACTTGATAAATAAAGGGTAAAACTTCTGAACCTTCCCTTTCCTTTTGAACAAAATTTTTTGTTGATTAGAAAGGGGAAAACTTGAAGGCAAAAACAAGTGAAAAGGAAACTGAGTGTCTTTTTCCTTTGCTCCTATTGACCCTTAAGAATTTCAGTAACTGAAAGAGTTTTCTCTCTACTGTTTCCCTAACTTGGATAGTTTCTTTATCAGGGTTGTCAGTAACTCACAATGAAATACAATAATTTTGTTAGCATAAGTAATTTTTTAGCTTTCTCAGCCATATTATATACATACTGATATTTCAAATCCTTTTTAGTTGCAGGCAAAGAATATACAGGCATACCTTGGAGATAATGTGGGGACTGTTCCAGACCACTGCAATAAAGTGAGCCGTATGAATTTTTTGGTTCCGTAGTGTACATAAAAGTTATGTTCACACTATACTGTAGTCTATTAAATGTGCAATATCATTATGTCTTAAAAATGTACAGACCTTAATTTAAAAATACTTTATTGGCAAAAAAACGCTAACCATCATCTGAGCCTTCAGAAGGTTGTAAACTTTTTGCTGGTGGAAGGTCTTGCCTCGGTGTTGACGGCTGCTGACTGATCAGGGTGGTGGTTGCTAAAGCTTGGGGTGGCAGTGGCCATTCCTCTAAATAAGAGCAATAAATTTTGCTACATCAAATGACTCTTCCTTTCACAAATAATTTCTCTGTAGCATGCAAAGCTCTTTGATAGCATTTCGCTCAGAGTAGAACTTCTTTCAAAATTAAAGTCAATCTTCACAAATGCTACTACTGCTTTATCAACTAAGTTTATGTACTAATCTAAATTCTTTGTTGTCATTTTAACGATCTCCACAGTATCTTCACCAGGAGTTGATTCCATCTCAAGAAACCACTTTCTTTGCTCATTCATAAGAAGTGACTCCTTATTCATTCAAGTTTCACCGTGAGGTTACAACAATACAGCCACATCTTCAGGCTCCACTTCTAATTCTAGTTCTCTTGCTATTTCCATCACATCTGCAGCTCCTTCCTCCACTCCCCTCAAAGTCATCCATGAGGGTTGGAATCCAATTCTTCCAAATTCCTTTATTTACTCTATTTATTTATTTTTGGCTGCGTTGGGTCCTCGCTGCTGCGTGCAGGCCCTCTCTAGTTGTAGCGAGTGGGGGCCACTCCTCGCTGCAGGGTGCAAACCTCCCATGGCGGTGGCCTCTTTTTTTTGTTGCGGAGCACGGGCTCCAGGCACGCGGGCCCCAGCAGCCGCAGCATGCAGGCTCAGCAGCAGTGGTGCACAGGCCAGCTGCTCCACGGCATGAGGCATCCTCCCGGACCCGGGCTCGAACCCGTGTCCCCTGCACCAGCAGGCAGACTCCCAACCACTGTGCCACCAGGGAAGTCCCCCAAATTCCTTTAATGTTGATATTTTGACCTCTTCCCATGAATCTCAAATGTTCTTAATGGCATCTAGAATGCTCAATCTTTTCCAGAAGATTGTCCGTTGACTTTGTCCAGATCCATCAGAGGATAACTATGGCCACTATAGCCTTATGAAATGTATTTCTTAATTAATAAGACTTGAAAGTCAAAATGACTCCTTCATCCATAGGCTGCAGGATGGGTGTTGTGTCAGCAAGCATAAAAACAACACTAATCTTGTTGTACACCTGGATCAGAGCTCTTGGGTGACCAAGTACATTGAGCAGTCAATGAGCAGTAATATTTTGAAAGGAATCTGTTTTTCTGAGCAGTAGGTCTCCACAGTGGGCTTAAAATATTTAGTTAACCATCTTGTAAACAGATGGGCTGCCAATCAGGCTTTGTTGTTCCATTTATAGAGCACAGGCAGAGTAGATTCTGCATAATTCTTGAAGGCCCTAGGACTTTTCCGAATGGTAAATGAGCATTGGCTTCAACTTCAAGTCATTAGCCCCTAATAAGACAGTCATTCTGCCCTTTGAAGCTTTGAAGCCAGCCATTGACTTCTCCTCTTTAGCTATAAAAGTCCTAGATGGCATCTTCTTCCAATATAAGGCTGTTTCATCTACC